TTTGAACGAGTACTGGCTCTCAGTACCCGGGGAAAATCCGCATGAGTAATATATTCAGTCAGCAAGTGAGTAGTGTTCACTTCCGTTGACCTTGTTGTTCGATGTACAGTAAATCCATTCCTTTTTTTTTTTTTAAATAATATCTTAAGATAGGAAATTAAAGTCTTCATGTATGTTCTGGCGCATTCTGTATGAATTGCGTGGGTGTCAATCTTCCTCAATGAGCCGAAAATTTTCAAAACACACAAAGGGTTTCCGGTCCGTGATTCATTATCGGAAATATGACTCGGTAAATATTTTCATCACGACCAGAAGTTGAATAATTATTATATGAATATGACGCTTTTCAACACAATAACGCCGATACGAACTTCGCGGAATCGATCACATTTCTCGGAATTTCCGAATAAAAAGTTGAAAAATCCGCACCGCAGGATGTTTCAATTCTCTTCTTCGTACTTGATTTGCCCACTTCTTGAAATTCAATGCAATAATGAAAATATCGACGATTAAAAGTCAAAGTTAAGTATTGAATGGCTTTGAGCTTTTTTTTTTTGTTGCGGTTTCCCGATTTATTTGAGGTTTTCTACGTAATATAGGTGACACATTACATACCAAACGTAATGAAACATTAAGTTCAGCATTACGTAACATAGAGGTGGAAATTGATGCGTTCTTCGTCAAAATTGAAGTCAGATGCGCACCGAGGCGTTCTTAGAATATTGCGACACTTCAAAACACGATACAGTACAATTCAGAGAAATGATTCAATTACACTAGCGTATATCCTGCTCAATTTATGTGCGAAAGCCTGCACAAAAACTTCATAAAAATCGAACTGCGCGCAAAAAGCAGAAACATCCCTGATTAAATTCAAAGGCGCTTCAATGTTCAGAATAATTTGAAAAAAAAACAGTTTTCTTCTCACCAGAAAGAAGTTCAGCAAAGAAGGAGTGCACATTTTCCCTCATTTCCTGCAAATCAGTAGGATTCGCCGCATCTCCATTCGCCATTTCCAATGTTTCACTTTTATTCTCAACCGGTGCTTCTGTTGTGTCTTGTGACACCACACATCCCATGTTTTCAACCACAGTGTTATCAGAAAAAATTCCAATATTCACAAAAAAAGAAGTAATTTATCTAAAAGCCTATTTTCTTTATTTTATTCTGTCGAAGAATGAATTCTGACGTCGTTCACTTTCCTCGAAATCGACGTCAGTCGACAGAGTCGCAGTCGACAATAGCGCGCAATATGGAATGGCTGACACAAACGCATAGGTGCTGAAGCAGTGTTGTTAAATCGATAGCTTTTTGGCGGAAAATAGAGGAAACCGGACTTCTTCTCACGCAAATGAAGCCTGACCACATCCGCAATCATCCGCAATTTTTTTCCGGACGTACAATTTTTGTTGCTCAATTCGACTTTTTAAAATTAAAAATCAATAGATGCATGGTTGTTGCGCAGAATAGCGTCATGCATTTTTGTGTGGCTATATAATGACCTTTTTCAGTGGTTTGCCACAATATGGTTCGGAATTCTTTTTGAATAATTCACGATAAATGGAGGAATTTAGACCCGACATCACTGCGATTCTGGGTGAGGGATTCATTTATTGATGAATGGTTGACGTCCGATTGGGTTATATGAACTTATACCTGCGGCAATGTGCTGGTTATTCTCATGGGCTCTAGTATTTTTCTGGTGGGTCGGGGGTTACGTTGCTAGGGCGACAGAAATGAGGACAAGACTTGGAATCCCTCCCAACCAAAAAGATCAATCTTTAATTTCTGGATTTCCTGGTCTTTCATTCTGAATATTCAACAAGCTCAAGAAGACAAGAACTGCCTCGAGATTTAAGTCCGTTTGAAATTACTGTACTGTACTTTGCTGGTCTTTTCTGCTTTAACTTTGTGCGAAATACTTCATAGACACATTAAAAAATTTATATTTATATATGTTAAACATTATATAAAAAATAATATATATTTATGCATAAAAGAAATATATATATTTTTTGATCGTCTTCTGGCTGCTGCATTGAAATGTGAAAATGAGGACCGTAGCATCTCAGTAGTTGAAGCTCTGTTATTGGGTCAAAAAGTAGCAAGAATTTTGGCCATGTAATGTTATTCTTGTAAAATTCTGCATGAGAACTGAATCAAGTTGCTCCAGCAACGTTTATTTCAGTCACGAAGTTCTCTCGAATAAGTTTTAGAACTCAGATAAAGAAAACTGATGCACATTTGAGACATTCAAGTTGCTTGGAATAGCCCCGAAATATCTGACCTCACTACTATCCAATGAAACTCAATCAATCTTGATTACATTTTCTTGCAGTTGGCTCTTTGAAAAAAAAATTTTCATCTCAAGCACTTGCAAAGCATTTATTTAAACAAACATATAAATTCACAGATGACAGAAATATGCAATTAAGATAAAATTGTCTAAAAAAAAATGTGACCTGGATTTCAAGTAGCTTCAGGGGTTCAAGACACAAGGAATTTCGCACATCAGCTGGTCGTCCCTGCTCACGTGTGAGCCTTTCTAAAACGTCAGCGTCATCTGTTGCTCAATCGATGCAACTCCAACCCCAGCCAATGAAACCCAAAGTCTGCAGCACTTCTTACAAAATTTAGAAATCGAATAAGCTTTCAATCACTGCATGCTAGGCAACAGGCTTTTCTTTTTCATCGCCTTCAATATCATCCAAGTCATCTTCTTTGTCATTCACATTATCATCATCAGCACTTCTTACAAAATTTAGAAATCGAATAAGCTTTCAATCACTGCATGCTAGGCAACAGGCTTTTCTTTTTCATCGCCTTCAATATCATCCAAGTCATCTTCTTTGTCATTCACATTATCATCATCGTCGTCGTCATCATCGTCGTCGTCGTCGTCGTCGTCGTCATCATCGTCGTCGTCACTCTGTTCGTTTTCTTCCTTTTTGCTGGGCTTATCCTTAACCACAGCCTGAATTCTACCAACAGCATTTTGCTGCGTATGTTGGATAATTATCTGAGACTCAATTTCCCTTGCGTCGCATCCGGAAGAAGGCGGGCACTTCCGTTTCTGTGCTGGCTTCTTAGTGTTACAGGCGCGGTCCACTAGTTTCTGGATGTCATTGGTGAGCACGTTGATGGGGCAATAGGGACTGTAGCGACGAAAGGGCTGCCCTTTGTGGTCAATGAGGAATTTCTCGAAGTTCCAAGACACGTCATTGCGACGCACTGGAGTCCAGGTGAACTTTTTCGGTTTGCGACGAGACAGGATGGCCGGGTTGTCGATGGGAAGTGGCAATTTCGCTTTGAGATACTGAAAAGTTCAGGAGCACAGTCTTGGTTAATGTGACTGACTGCTCTCATAGAAAGCATATACAGATATAAAATAATGCAAGGATAAATAAAGCACTACTAAAAAGACCCTTTACAGTCAATCCCTATGCACAACTAACTTGATTTGGAAAAAAACTATTCTGTTGTTTGAAAATCCTGTTATGCAAATTCAGTTATTAAATTGTTTCCTTTTTACCATTAATATTACACCGAAAGAAGTCTGTCAGGCAGATTAAGCTCTATGTATGGAAGGAAAAACAGCCTCCAGAGGCGGTCTGATGTGCAAAAATTTATTGCACAGGAGGTCTGTTGCACAAGGGTTGACTGTAAAACCAACTTGTGTAGAGAGCTACTGCATTTGAAACAGTACCACCTGCCCTCATAATCTATTTCCAGGTTTAGTTATTACTTGGTCTAAAACATATGACAACCAAATATCAACAACAAAATTCTAGACTTTAATCTAGTACACAAAATTCACGTAAAATTCAACCCTGTGATTTTTTGAGTGGAATATCAAAAAATACATCAATAGGTGAATGAGGAAAATGTTGATATAGGTGGTCATTGCAATTTGAACCTGATCCATTGCTGGGCCAGGGTTGAATTCTGTAACAGTTGAATTTCAAGACAGTGTACAATGCAATGTTTTCTACAATAAAATTTGGCCCTTTGTGGCTCACTGCAGGCTAAATTGTGGGGCAAAGGTTGAATTGCAATAAGTCAACCTCCCAGCAAATTTGACTGTCCAACCGCAGGATGGAAAAGTTTCAGGATGCTGAACTAAGAGGTACCACCCATGTAACAAAGCTGGTCTCACAAAGGAGTAGTCCACAAAAAAAGTTAAGTGACAGTGATGTTGAACAAGAAATAGATTGAAAATCAAGAATTTGAATTTTTGTCAGAAGACATGGATAAGCAGTTGGAACTTGCTAAGTTGCACGTCTGAAAAAAAGCACCAAATTAGCATTCTTTCATGATTAATTAATTAAATTTAATGATGAAATATATTTTCACTCTTTGCAAATATGAATTGCCGAATTTGTTGAAGAGGTATCAAAATTAATCAAAATAAAATGCATCAATGGTTCTATAAATTTTGTAAAAGTGCCTGTATATCAAGACATTGCCCTCCTTTTGGGACTTTTTTTTTTAATTGTATATATGTCCTTATGTCAAATCACCCATATGTTGGGGCATCTGTGTGTCAGCTTCACAGGCACTGTACTTCACACAAGATAAATGTGTCTCAAAATGTGTTTAAAATCAGCTCATTGGATAACATATCATATACAGGTAGTGCCTGCAATTCAACTCTAATCTGTTGCTGGACTAGGGTCAAATTGCAAAGCAGTCTAATTGCAAAGCCCATTTTTGCCCATGTCTGTGGGTCAAATGGCCTAGGTTGAATTCCAAGTTGACCTCCCAGCATATTCAACATCAAATTATGGGAGGTCAAATTGCAGTACTTTCCTGTTATCTCTGTACCTTTCCTCTGACCAATTTAACCTGACCTAACCTAACTTCACCTAACCGCCTCCCAAAATCAGTTTCAGCAGAATGCAGAAAAATAAAATTCACAGTTCCTGGTAGGTTGTTGTGATTATGAACTTGTCCTAAAGATTTGTCTGGATGGTAGTGCGGTCTAGGAATGAGGTACAGAGATAACAGGAAAGTACCCAATTTGCAAGGTACCACCTGTGTTCATGTGTTTAAATGATACAAATTCACTGACAGTGTAGACAGGCGGGGTGTTGACGCCGTTGACTTCGACCTTCTTGAACATGACAGTTTTGGGAACGAATCCAGAGCCCGGCCGAACATACTTGAGCACATNCATATATGGAGAAAAGAAAATAATCGCAATTCGGTTTCTGGGTTACAATACATTAAAGTAAAAACTTTTAATTTCAATTCGATCATGGGCCATTGTTTTTCGAGTGTGGAATTAGAGGTTTTTTGTGTACAGAAAATCACATGAATGCTCGTGTTACTATGCAATTTCTGGAAACATTTTACTGAATACCATATCCTGAAACTATATTCCTGTTATTACAAGTTGAACATCATTGAAAAGGAGGAATCTTATCCGTAATATTTCCAGCATTGAGTCCACAGCAGTCATGCCTGGTAATAATCTGGTAAATTTTGAAACAAATAATTATATTTTCAGATATCTTATTAAAGCGATTGAATTAAATTGTTAGATTGGCATATACAATACAGTACAGTAGATTCAGAGATATATTCCTTAATTTTAAGTTTCCTTGGAATTCGAATTTGAATTATTTTGATAGCTCCCTGAATTTCACATATTCTTCTGATTTAAATTGCAAGAATTTCCGCGAGCCATACAATTTCAAATATTCCACATCATATAAACATAAATCTCGGATTTACGGTGGTAAAATCAAATGTTTCTCACATGGATCTTCGGCTTTGATTTCATAGAATGTTTTCGGACAAAGTCCTTGTAAACTGGAGGGAACAGGAAAATTTTCCCCGCAATCATCATCTGCTCTTTCGATGTCTTCAATATCTTTGTTCGAAACCGATCCATTATAGTCATTGAGAAGTTGGTCATCAGCTGAAATTTCGTCCATGATGAAGTCGGTTAATTAACCAGATAGAAGAATAATTCGGACCTATAAAAAAAAGACAACGGAGGAAACCTTCATTTCATCACTCTTCAAACATAGGTGACCATGCAAAGAAATCATTGAAGGTCTTATTGAAAACCTTGCAGCATTCTGAATGAGAAAATCCTGCTCTCGTAGTTTTTTGCAACAGCATCCTTCCGCGTAAATTGCATTTCGATCTTCCTTCACACTGACGAAACAACGATCCACTTTGAATCAATATTTCCGCAAACTTGAACAAATAAATAAATATTTTGCGGCAGAAACCAAAGATACGTCCAGTTTTTGAAACTGGCAAACATTCATAACCGCTGCCAAGATTAAACCAGTCAACAAACTTGGACAGCAAAAAATTTCGCTTTGAGCATCGGTTTCCAAAAAAAATCACAGATGTCCCTCGCTACAGCAGTAACAACAACAACAACAACAACAAAAAAGAACTGATCCTTCAGTTTTTGGAAGAGAAGTTCCCTTAATCCACCTTAAAACTGGGATTTGAATAACTAAATTTCAAAGATAACTTGTTCGTTCGTACATAAAATTTGTTCTTCACAACAGTCCTGTTTTTAAAGCGTTTTCTTGGTTCCGAAAGTTGGCCGTCATTATACCAAAGAAAACTCAAAGCTATTCTGTTGTAGGCTTCGAAAAGGCTTTTTTTTCAATTAATAGAGGATTGGTCTGCATTTTTAAAAGCAATTCCAACAGATAGCAGCTGTAACTTTATAAGAAATGCAATTTCCAACAATTTCCAAATTGAATGGAATAATATACGAGTCGGCTTTCTACTCGAAAAATCTCCAAAAAATTTTGTGAACGTCGCCGCTGTTGGGTTCAGTTATTTAAAAGTTTTTTTTTGTGTGCGCGAGTGAATATATTTTTAATATCTGGATGATTTATTTTGCAACAGGAAACGATTGAATGATAAATTAAGTCGATTAATAATTTTTCAAATGAAAAATATTTTCTCAACGTCTACGTCTTCTGCCGTCCATTTCAACATCAACCACTCGTTGTCTCAAAGCAGACACTTCGTCTCGCAATTGGCCCAACTCATCTTGCATCTCTTCCCACTGGTCGAAAGTTGGCGACACGTCTCCGCAATTTTGCACTCGAGTCGCGTTCAATTGATCGCGCAATGCGTCGTGTTTGCGGTCCCATTCGGCTGCCTTTTGCTCCAGGGCTTGTCTCACAGCAGCCAGGTCTCTTTTCAAAGACTCGATTAGGGTTACCCAAGGTTCAGGGTCCGGATGAACCAGGGTTGGTTCGTTCATGAAGCCAATGTGCAACGTGGACGGGAAGCGGGTTGCGGTTTCCTCGGCTTCGTTGTCAGGGACGGAATAATCCTGAAATACATGAAATTTTAAACACAGATGTTACATTTTGAATTCCTTGCTGCTTCTTATTCCTGTACAGTGAGGCCCAAACCCGTGGATATTTAAAATTAAAATCAAGACATCTGCACCAAGAAATTTGACACAGTCTCAAGGCACGGGCACTTTCTTGGAATTTCCAGAAATAAAGAAAATCACTTTTCCGTATTTTTAAATTTCCTTGAAAAATTAAGACATTGAACTGCTGGACTATATACAGAAGTCAAAATAAATCTTTGCATAAATTGGACAGATTAATTTCCGAAAACTGGTTGATGAATATAACTGTCGTGCTCTTTCTTCAGGGGTTCTCCCTCAACTGCGTATAAATTAGATCAATATGTAATTTTTATATTATTATTTTGGACTTCTCTTTTAGCGAAAAAGGAAAATTCTCTATGATTTTTATTTTCAAAGTTTTTTTCTGAGTCGTGAAGTTGAGATATACAATACATTTTTTTTGAAGTTTTTGGAGGTTTTATTCCCATTTTTTGCCAAGTGATCAAAAATGTTCCCCTTGAAGTCTACAGGAAAATTTTGATACAGCATGCTGATATTTCAAGATATTGACAAATGAGTCTAAGATGTAATTATGGTACGTCAACATCTTTGGGTCCTATTTTATGCATGCTGTATACCTCTCATAATTGATACATGGCATTATGCATTTCGTGCAAAATGAGCTTGTGCAGCCATCAATTTGTTCTTTTTGTTAAAAGACTGCTTTCGTCAAAAACATTGACTTTACTGTCAAAATTGATCTGATTCTAGACATTCTCTCAGTGTGTGCATGAGGAGGGCTACAAAATGTTCCATGTGACCTGATTTTTCTCTGTTTCTAAAATAAGACCATTTCAGTTCCAGACCTCCATGCCCAACTTTTCAGGGTTTTTCCATCAATTGTGCACTGTTGAGCAATGTTTTTTGTCTATTGTACTGCATTAAAGGCCAAAAAGTCAGCTTCTGCATGATCTTCGTGCAGAAAGGCACACAGAAATAAAATCGCGAGGAATTCAAAAAAGCCCCTCAACTGCTGTACACTAAGAATATTATATTCAAAGGCATTTTTACGCTTAAAATTTAAGCAATATCTGAGCTTTTTTTGTTCGTTGAACTTCATTTCATACCAAAAAGGCAAATTCTGAACACAGTTTTCATACAGAAGAAAGGCGCAGAAAGATAATTGCGAGAAATTCCCAAAAGCTGTCTACTGCATACACACTGGGAATATATTCAAAGGTATTTTCGCTTAAAATTTTGAAAGAAGATTTTGAAGAACGTGTAGGCTGCACAGTATACGAAAAATCATTTATATAACAAAATCGAACCTGTTCAGGTATATCAGAAGTCGTTGGAGTCGTTGGATGATTCATACTAGAAGAAACGGTGGCGAGAAACGAAGACAACGGAGCCATTAACGGCGCAAAACTCGGGTGATGCGAGATCACTTTCTCAACCACAGATGTCACTGCTGATGGCGACTGCAGCGTCGACAAATCCGGTGACGAACTACTGAATCCAGACGTAGGAGAGTCATGATACTCAAATGAAAATGCAGATGACATCGTCGATGATGAAGACGTCGTCGTCGCAGCAAAAGCCGTCGTCGACGCTGATGTCGATGTCGAAGCAGTAGTTGTCGTGGATGAGTAACCAGGCACCAAAATTCGACACGTTTCAGAAGCAGGACCTTCGAATTTGTCGTTGAGAACGTGTAAAGTCGCAGTGAGATCGTCGTAGGGCAGTGCGATTAAAACATCGTCGATGACGACTTCGGTGACGTTCCGATCCAGGCTGAGATCGACTGCCCCGAGAACGGGGTGTTCCAGACTTCGGATTTTCATCTGAAAATCAAAATCAGGATCATCGAAAGCCATAAAAAAATAAACAACTACATTTAATGAAATGTCAGACCTTGTATCCTCGAAAGAATCCGTTTACGTCAGACTGGTCGATTGTTTCCCATGAAAAAGTCACTGATCCATCGGGATTCACGGGAGCCACTCCATTCGGGCAAAATCCATTTGGAGACTTCAGGGGAACTGAAAAATTCGATTAAAAAAAATATGCACAGAAATCCGAAAGTGAACTACGAAAATTTCAATCAAGTAGCCACTTCAAATTTCACTGAAGGTGATTATCGCAAATTTTCCATGAAAAACATTTGCTAACGAGAGTAAGAGAAAATCTAAAACCAAAAATACCAATGCACAAAAATGCATTCGCGAAAGTTTGTCAATCAACACTCTCCCGAAGATTAATCTAGAATTTCTTCAAAATTCGTGAATCTAACAGAAACATTTTGAAAAATTAAAATCGATTCATTTGTCACGAAACGAATGAGAAAGTTTTCAGCAAAAATCTACCGTGAAAAATCAATAAATGTCAATTAAATATCCTTAAATGTTTATTTCAATATACACTATATATAGTATGTTACGTTTGCATAATTTTCGCCACGAAAGGACCTCGAAAAAAGGCGAACGGTGACCTCAATCTGGTGCCCACAAAATTGCAAGAGCTTCTCCAGCAACCTAACTTATAATCAAAGAAATATTTTCAGAGAATCTCTTTCAAATTTTCAAAGAGCTATTGATAGAATTTCCTAACCCTTCGCAAATACAATTTCATTGATTTGTGAATAATTAATACACTAGTTGAGATTTGTTTTTTGTGCAGATTTACTCACCGCCTTGACCAGTGTATGCCGTGATGGTCACCGGAGTGAGGACACTGGGTCCAACGGAATTTCTGCACCAAACTTTGACAAAGTATTTCTTGTAAATCGGCAGATCTGGAATTCGCAAAGAGTCTAGCTTTGCATCGGGTACGACGATGTCGATCCATTCAGCACCGGGTTCAGCTGCTTTGTACGACACCAAGTATGCAAAATCCGGACCGGCGCTTTGAAGCAGAGGAACAGGCTTCGGAAATTTGCAAAAAATAAGCATTAATGATCTTTCTGTGTGTAAAATAGATACGCTTTGAATCAGAGGAGGCTCAAAGGAAGCTGTTCGTGGAATGAAAATCAAAAAACCGCATTTAAAATTATGGAATTATGAAGCAATAAAAAAGAAGAAAATTTGAAAGACGTTTGAACAGTTCAAAATTAATAAACGATTTACCTTACGTAAGTCTTTAAAAATTTTAAATTGATTTTCTGAACTCTGAGTTGAATTTTGTCCACCTCTCGGTTGGAATCGGGGTTTTGAAATTCTTCCTAAAATGTCGTTGCATATCCAAATTCAATCACTGTAAATGTTCACTTATTTAGGTTGTACAATAGCATAGTTGAATAAGATGCACATTCCGTTCACCCTCAACATTCAAAATCAGATCTCGAATACATTTTTAGCCTTGATAAAAGTTGATAATTTATCAAATTCACATTCTGAATTGTTAAGGTTTCGAAATTTCGAACGAACAAGTGACAGCAAATACAGATTTATTCTCCGGAGCTCCAAATCAGAAATCGTGGAACAATTACAATTGTATTCACCACTTATATATAGACATCGTTCCGAAATATTTCAATATTCAGGAGTCAAATCCGAATTGACACGTTTTAAGTCATCGTTCTAAAAATTTTAAAGTGCGATTCAAGAGTGCGCAAATCAATTTTAAGGGATAAATCGAATCCAAGTCGGACTTACAGTCCATTTGACGAGAAAATGCCCTGGGGCATCTCCGATAACGGTGACGTTTCCGGGCAAAATTTTGGGCACATCCGGTGGGGAAGTACAGGGGCGACCACTGGGTTCGGACGGAAATGAAGTTCCGATTTTGTTCTCGGCAACGACTCGAAAGGAGAAATTTCCCCAAGCATTCAGCGTGACCTGAGCTGACACAGTTCCTCCAGCAACTTCTTTCAGGTCTTCCCAGGTATCTGGGGCCAGACTTGAATTGGCCTTTTTTAAATAGATTTTTTTAATAATAATATTTAAAAAAAAACTCAAATTGAAGTAGGCACTGTACCTGAACCCGGTAGGAAGTGACAGGAGCTCCGTTGGACTGCGAAGGAACCCAGCGGACTGTGGCAGTTTTGCCAGCACACCGGACGTACTGTATTTTCGGCTGGCCAGGAACACCTTGGACAATCAAAGCAGCACTTCCGGATCCGGAATCCAGAACAGTGGAAACGACGCATGTGTAAGATCCGGTATCAAGCTCGTTGGTGACTGGAATTTCCAGAGTGGGAGGATTTCTCTCAATGATGTACTTGTCACTGGGCTTTAATTCGGCCCCGTTTCTCATCCACGTCACATTCACATGCTGGAAAATGTGGAAAATTTCAAGTCAAAAATCAGTACACCCTTTCTTGGCTCACCATGTATATAGAGTACCATATTTACTTGAGTACCCCACGCCCTCAAGTAAGGCACTCTCAAGGGTTTTTCAGTTCAAAATTTGGCTAAAATTGTATCCCCGAGTAAGACACGCGCCCCATTTTTAGGGACTCTAAAACCACAAAATTTCAAAAATAAAAACAAAAAATTTGACATTTGATTTGAATTGAAACATGAATCTGGTCAATTTTCAAAAATTTTAGTAAAAAAGTTTTCTTGGTACATTTTTCAAAAATTTCTCAATTATAATCAAGTATAATCAACACAGAACTTCCTAAAACTTCTTGAAAATTTTGTACCCGCTTATGACGCACACCCCTTTTTTTCTTCTGAAGTTTTAGAAAAAGGTGTGCGTGGTACTTGAGTAAATACGGGATATCTTTGCCACTTCTTTGTATATGTATGCAGGTGGTAACTTAAAATTTGACAACCATGCAATTTTTCTATCCCTGAACATGATGGTCAAATTTGTCAAGAGGTCAACTTGCAATTTGACCTCTGCCCTGCAATTTGACCCAGACAGAGGGACAAAAATGCCTAACACAACATAGAAAACATTGAATTTGACCTTGCTTCACAATTTGACCCTAGTACAGTAATATATTAGGACCAAATTGGGGGCACCACCTGTACTGTATCTAAAGTACAGTGATACCCCAAGATGTGGACATAATTGATGCATCAAGAGTGTCCCTAAGTTGAGTCTTGTTTTCCCATAGACTTACATTATATCATTTTTAATAGGGTTTTTATGGAAGAAATATTCTTCAGATTTCCCTGAAAAAAGTTGTTTGCCACTTGAATTTGAATTAGTGAATACATTTTCAACTCATCAAGAACATTTGGAGCATTGAATAGTGTATCTCTGTACTGTACATTGAAATGTTGACATCTACAAAAATAACATTCAAGTGAAAAAAGTAGAAGTCCCTCTATCCTGGAGGTAATTTTTTAAAATTAGCTAAATGGATGGTAATTTGGTGAGAAAAATGCCCACAAATTTTTCCTAAATTAATTTTAGGATTGGAAATATCTGTTTCTTGTAATTTGGCCTGAAATGTTTTTGCAAATTTATCACAAAATGTCCCTATGTTGAGTCAGTGTCCTCATGTTGGCCCTTTTCTATTAATTTTTTCATTGAAAAATAAGTTTTCCCATGTTGAATTGTCTGTAGGTTGAGGTGTCCACATGTGGGGGTCTCACTGTATAAATAGATAACGTATGTGTATTTTTTATTTATTTTTTTACCTGGATGGAATCCACAGCAGTGGTGAAAGAAACCGAGTCCTTTTCAGAAACATCACCCAAGTGCCCAGCCACAGCCTTCAACTGTGCATTCGTCTCGCACACAAACACTGCCGGTCTCCCAACAGTGACTTCCAGTGCTGGCGGCTTCACTCTGACCGCCGTTCTGGGCCTGACAGTGAGTCGGGCCCGGGCTCGAATCGGCGCCTCGCCGTCGCGACTGGCGACACACGTGTACAGACCGGCGTCCAGGAATTGCACGTTGTCTATGGTGAGGTCGCCGGCGTCGGATTGCTGGATCCGGCGTCCGATGGACAGTTCTTTGTAAGTGGAGCCTCGGAACCAACGGACGGAAGTCCGCCCTTTGTTGTTGTTGTTGTTGTTGTTGTTGAGGTGGCCGTCAATGCGACAGGGCAATTCGACCCGGGAACCCGCGGCTACTTCCACGTCGGTTGGGGCTCGGATGAAGGTCAAGATCTCGGCTGAGCCCCCATTTCCTTTATGAAAAAAAAAAAATTAATGCAAACCCATAAGTTTTAAGTTTACAGTCAAACGTGTTCAAGTCAAGTTTCAAGGGAGCAGCTGAAAATTTGAGTCTCAGGGAAAATTGAATTTTTTGCTGTGGGAAAGAACAAACAAGATATATGGGAGATTGTCTTGAGTGTTCCTCTCGCGGTCTTGAATTGATTTTGAATGAGTATTGATAGGATGCTGAACTTGAAGGCAAGGGTTCATTTCCGAATAGTCTTCCAATTGCTTTTGAAACACATCAAGTTAAATTTTGATTACTTTTCTCTCAGTTTCCTGTGTCAATAAACTAATAGCAAAAAGGCCTTTATACAATTCAAGTATTGGAGGTTTGTGAAGGAAAGCCTTCCAGTTTGGGAGGTTGCAGGTTAAAGAAAAACTGACCATTTTGGCTGAGATTCATATAGCTCTTTTTTTTTAAATTTATAATCTATTATTCAAACATGAAGCCATGCTTCATTAGCTTTCAAATGTGTAATTCATATTTTTTTAGTTGATAATTTTTTTAAAATTATGAAACCTTTTTCAAACTGAATCTGCAAAAGAAAAAGGGGCCTTCATTAAAGATTATATATTGCCATCCTTTCTAAAGGATCCTCCTTTCTGAAAGCATGAAAATGTGTCAGGGGTTGTTCTTGCCCACTTTTGACAATTTATGCGGAATAAGAAAGGAGTTCAGGTAAAGACACATGGTTTCCCAATGCAGAATTAAGAATTATACAGTCAACCCCTGACTTAGTGGCATCATTTGTGTTGGGACTTTTTGTGGCACTAACGAAGGGTAGCACTAAATGGAATACAGTATACTGTATAAGGAAAAGTTTAAATTGCGTGTTCACACTTAGAGGAAAATGATCTTGTTCACATTCTTGAGGCCTCTGAGTCCTTCTTATTAAAGAGAAAGCCAGAAGAAATGATTTGAAGCTCAAATGTACTGGTTTCCATTGTATTTCAATGTATTTAACAAGAAAGAGTGAAATGTATCAGATTTTTAAACTCACCTATGTTGGGTCCAATAAAAGGGTATAGCCATTTATTTAAGTTGTGTATCAAGTGCCACAAAGCAGGATTCCCCAATGTGTCAAGGAAAATGTTTTTGTCATTAAAAGAAGTTGACATGCAACAAAAATAATGAACATTTTTTCAATTATTTAAACAAACAAAAATTGTTCAAACTAATTATTCTGAGTTTTTTCGTGTGCTTATGAGTCTCAGTGAAAATCTCATTCACATTGCCAAAAGAGGGCCTCAAATTTATTTTTTCAGTTGTATACCCAGCAGTTCTTCATCCAGGACATGGCATTTTTTGTGGCACTAAGTGAGTTGTGATTGGCACTAAATTGGGCTTTCCCATAAGAAGACAATGGAGGGAGATTTGCTCCAAGGAAATTTTAGGCACTATGTCAGCGTGGCATTAAATTGAAGTTTGACTGTATACTGTACATCATAAAGCATGCTAAAATTTTGAACTATGATGCCTAAGCAGCAGTAATTATGATGCAATATTTTTGAAAATTCAGAAAATGTGTGTTTCGAAGAATTCTGGCAATACTTAAAGCTTATCATCCGAGTTAGGAAAATTTTAAATTTTGATAAAATAAAAAAGCGGCATGAAATGAGTTTTACCTGCTGTTCCTGGATCCGAGCCCAACACTGTTAGCAAAGCACTGGCCAGGAAGATTGCTGAGATAAGCGGAAATCCAAGAAGCAATCTGCCAGGGATTATTCATAATTTTTAAGATTCCGTGATCGATTTCCTAATTAAAAAATGATAATTTCTGATTACCTGCTCAAGCACTTCGGCTTTGTCATCTCAGCCTTTTCAACTTCAGGCCTCACAACACTCCTCACACTTGACACAAGATTGAAAGCTCAGAGCTATTTAAAGTAATTAAAATTACCATTCAATCGATAAACCTGTCAGAGAAAAAAAAATCACAGTCAGCTAATTAATACTTTCCTCGCTGATCAAAATCTAAATCTCTATGCGGAATGTTGAAAAGTCTCAAGACTAGACAGACTGTTAACCACCACAAATTACCCGTATGTCATCAAATTTAAAAAAAAACCACCATGCGAAAACCACAAACCATTTTCCTGTATCCCACAAGCATCACCACACCGATATTTCACACCAAAACCACAAAAACAAATTGAGGTGAATTCCGTGAAACCGAAAACATCCCAATAAGCACTTTTGAAAAAAAACCACAACATTCCCTTCGTTGTTGTCGATTGCAAAATGATATTCGTTTCCAAATGAAAGCATGAAGTTCCTCGTCTGGACGGATTTTCTTTAGCAACTATACTGATGACAAAATAAGGTAATAATCCCTATAACATACAATGCTTAATGCCCATTATTGATTGACTCACGTCAAGCTGAAAAAATGTAAAACTTGTGCAAAAAAAGCAGCAGCAATGATCAAAAACCAGAATAGAAAACAACCCGACGAAGAAAACTGTGCAGCACATACATACAGAGTGAAAAGAAAGACTTGAAAAGACAGTGAAAAAAATCAGGAAGCCCGTTATACCATAGATAAAATTTAAAAAATTTTACACAGAAGAAATGAAACAGTAATTTTGTCGTCGATTTGCAGTTCGAACAGATGAACTTCGTCTACGTCCTTGGGCCATCATGCTTTCATCTCCTGCGAATGCATTTGAAGATGAGTCTTCCATCCTGTCGCAAGACTTTGATCTAGATTTGAGCTCTGAGCTTCCGTCGGAAACATGTCTGGAAAGTTCCCTACGACCAGCGACCCTAGAAAGTGTCCCAGATTCCTCCGGAACAGGTTTAGGGCCACTTGGTTCCCCAGATGGCCCAGGTCTCGAGTCCATCAGACCGGGTTGGGTAAATTTGCCCTTCCGTTCCGCAAGTTCGGGTTTGGCTTTCAGCTGTTGGACCCCCGACTCGAATTTCTGCGAGAAAATGATCAATTTTTTGTTGAATTCAAAATATTGACTGATTCTGCTTTCTATAAACATGGTGGTTCTCGTTGGTTTACTTGAGATGCAGCAGAAAATAAAATTCATATCGCCGAAAAGAATTTTGTGACTAGATCAAATTTAATTGTAATTAATTCTTTGGACGGAAAAGATATGAGTAAACTCACCATTTTGGGCTTGTCCTCGACACTTTTCGAATCCTTTTGAGCTCCAGACTTCCAAAATTTTTGTGCAGGTCGCCCAGGCTTGAAATCCGGCGCCTTTTCGTGCCGATGGCGGCACTGCTGAGCTGGGGCGTCCTCGTCGACGTGACTCTCGACTGCTTGCTTGAACGATTTCGACCTCAAAACAGTTGACGACCTCACTGCGGTCCTCGGCTCAAACTCTTCAACTTCAGCAATGGTCGGGATTGGCGGAGGAATGGTCCAAATTTGCGGTGGTGGAGCGCCAGCGGATTTGGCAGCGAAATACGCCGCCACGAAGGATTTGTGCCGCCTCGTGAGTTCCTCGACGCTCAGAGGCAATTTATTTTGTTGGTCGTCCGTGTCAGTCACGTGGATTGCTGGAGGATAGAAGGGTCTTTGCTGATATTGTTGTTGAACTATGGCCCGTTTCGATTCGAATCCGAGTGGGACTTGTGGAGTTTTTTGTGTCACGTTGTGAGCATCAGCAGTGGTGCTGATTTTTGATGCTGATGGTTGACGTGTTTTGAATCGAGCGATGTCGCGGTCGGAACGATATTCGCCCACGTACGAAGCACGTTCATCGAAAGACCCCGAAACTTCTGAAACACGATTTATTTTTTTTGGTCGTAAACTTATTTTTTACGATTATTTCCAAGCGTTTTCTCGCAAATTAGCATTCGAAACATTCAAATTCAAAGTGCCGAGCAAAACACCAAAAACGTCCAGAAATCTGAGAATTCTGATAAAAAATGAAATCAAAAACCCCGCCTAGAATCCAGTAGAGTTTTGAACTGAATTCCTCATACCCGGAGATTTATTCCACTAAAGTAAATAAACTGTATATAGAAGACTATAAATATCCTCGTGATGATTTTTGAGGTATTTGAGATATTTTGAAAAATAACTGGTGCATGAAATTTGAAAATTCTACGCCGAAAATCGAGGTGTTTCCTCGGTCTTCTGCCCCTTTTTGTGAATGGATTTCACTGGAATTCCATTTAGATGCAACCTTTTGAAACGATTTTCAACTTTTTTTTTATTTTTCTAAACAAAATCAAGCAGGAGAGAAGACGTATAGAGTTGGAAGTGTAATTTTAACGGCTGTGAATGAATTTTATGAATTTTCGCATGATGCCTTAAAATATTCAACTTAATGTACGACAGCCATATGTACTAATGAGAAATGCTCGAATCGCAACAATGTCAGTGTTTCCAGTGCTGTGTCTGTGATGTAAAATATCGCATTGTATATAGGTTCTACATCTACAATATCGTTAGGCGAGCAAAATGTTCTCCGAGTCAAAATTCTTGAAGATCTTCAGAGAAGAAATATTTTGTTGCTTCAAGTCTTTTTTTTTTCATCACGGAGTGGCTTTTAAATTTCGATAATTCTGACTAAGAAACTGTGTCCCTCAAGAAGGGTCACAATTCAAAGTTCAGATAAAACTGTCAAATTATTCCTCAAAGGTAAACTGATGAAGCGTTTTCCGTTGACCCAAAAAATCCGCTGACGGAAACGATGAAAATTTTTTTTTAATCATATTTTTAAGTCTGAAAACGTTTTGCTCCTATAAGCAGATATTTTTACAAAGCTGTGGAAAGAAGTACTGTACTGTATATCAGAAAAGTACTGACCTGAAGTCAGACTTCCTCCATTTTCGTGGCCCAGATCGAGTCCCAGGTTATCGTATACAGCATCTAATCCAATTATATCTTCTCTCCTTGAAAAAGATAGTTGGATACGAATCTCAACACACAAGCCTCAATTGACGTTTAAATGCACCGATGACAAGTGCGATGTCCAGATAATTAAAGATTAACTCGGTATTAGTATCAAAAGCTCGTTATTCAGTAAAAACTTACGCGACGATCGATGGAATCCCGATTTTCTCCACTCGTTTCGAAATTGCATCCGGTTCTTCTTTCACGAAATATTTTTGCTTCCGATTCTCTTGACAAACACACACAAAGAAGAAGCACGTGAGCAGAAATCCCACTGCTGCCAACATTCCCATGTACCAGGCTTCGAATCCAACGTCTTCCCATGGCAAACTTGCGACTGCAAAAAGTTTAACAACATCGATTAATAATTAAAAAAAATGCTTTTTAATGTTTTCTCTGAAGTAAAAAAATATTTATGTCCGTACCTGCGAAGTCCGAGCAACGCGTTTTTATCCAATTGCCTGGTGTAGAGAAAACTCGGTGACCAATGAGGAATTGAACTCGGATTTCATAATGACCGGGTCTCAGGTGAGAGTTGAAAACTGTCAACTGATTTGTGATTCTTGGGAAAACTTCTGATTGGATAAAAATCGATTCTCCATTTAACCTGAAATCAATAAAAAAAATTGAAAGCAAGACGGAATGCGGTACGAACTGAACTTTGAAAATCTGTGCAGGAATACTGTACGTATATGCAATGCGAAAACATTGCACATGGTGTTCAAATTTGGCGGTCTCGAATTCATGATTTTAATTCCCGTTTCATAGGTGTCGCTGGAATCACATAGTTTTTTTTCTTGGGTTCAAATCAAGAAAGATTGAAAACGTTCTTCATTTAGGTTCATCATCAAAGTGCTAGGAACTTATTTACAGTGAGACCCCAATATGTGAACATAATTGGTGCATCAAAATTGTCCCTAAGCTGAGTCTAATTTTCCCTTAGACTTGCATTAAATAATTTTTAATTTGTGTTTTATGCACAAAATACTCACCATATTCCTATGAGAATAAAAACTGTCTCCCAATTTAAACTGATTCCAATCAATATATTTCAACACAATATGGGCATTTGGGGAATTGAATACTGATACCTCTGTACAGTACATGGAAATGTTGGCACTATTCTCTACTTGTAATTTGGCGTGAAATGTATTAGCAATTTTATCACAAAATGTCCCTATGTTGAGTCAGTGCCCTCATTTTGGGCCGTTTTTATTAATTTTTATGAGAAAATAAGTGTCTCTATGTTGAATTGTCTGCAGGTCAAGGTGTCTGCATGTGTGAGTCTCACTGTAATTATATTTTGGGGTGCTGCAGTCAAATTTTGGTCAAATTGATTTGTCTGTAAAGGGGATAATTGACAGTGACATTTGCAATCAGCAGGTTGCGTACTTCGATTTTCTGAAACATTCAAAAACTTTGATATGCACCGCTCTTCCTTAGAAAAAAGCGTCATTATATAAAATGTTTAAGTTTACCTGTGCAGCAGTCGGATTGGAATCCAATTGAGAATGGCTTCAATATGCATTGCTCGCATTTCAACTCCGCAATAGATAGCACTTTTGTTTTCGATCACTGTGCTGATTTCTCTGAGCTCGAAATGATCCCAGAACAAGGCAACAGCTTTCGCCAATTCAATGGAGGAAGGGTTGTAATCAGACCATTCAGGAACTTTTGATTCAACGTAGTGCCTGCAGGCAAATTTTACACAAAGTGAATTTCTAGACGACTCATATCGGATCAACAACATAAAAACCTCTGTTGCGAGAGGGAGATTGCTTGAAAAGGTTAAAAATTTCAAATTGCTTCTCGAATCGATCTAGAAATATATATACTCACTCTGGACCGAGTCCGAATCGATTCCCAGGAACAACGAAAATGCGATACTTTGTCCCAGGCTCCAGTTCCGAAAGCACGAGTTCTGACTTGTCCTGACCATCATCAGATGCAGGAAAATTTTGACAAATCCGCCTCAAGTTTGCAGCATTATACCACTCGAAATCCTTTATAATGTTCGAAGAACTATTTTTAGTTTCCGTTTCGTTTGGTTTCCTTCTCATGACAGGAATCACGTCCCCAGCAGCAATTCTGGGCCCAACTCGGGTTCCGTCCAAAGATGCGAATTCTACCCGATAATATTCGACGGTGTAGTCATTGAAAAGTCGTGTTCCGAATTTTTGACCGCATTCCGGATAAATTCTTCTCGAGGGCCACCAAGATATTCTCAGGGACGTGAATCCAATCGGATTGACTTTCAGCAAGCCTACTGCTCCGGGAGCTGAAATTCACAAATTAAATATTTCGAGATTTTCTGAAAGTACGGCCTTTAAAAAAATTTAAAACACATAGCTGGCAACTTTAAAACGTATCATCAGCGTATTTGGCACGAGTCAAGGAGATATAAAGAGCTATGACTTACTTTTTGCATTTTGATTTTAGGGGAAAAAACGACGATGCTTTTCAGGTAAAACTGCTGAATTACTTCTCTGGAAAGACCGATTCCAATTTTAATTTGAATAATCCTCAATAGGAAAAAAAACTATGCGTGAAAAAGCTGCCGGGTTATCAAGAGTTTTCAAATTGACGATTTTTGTTTCAAATTCAAGCCTTCGACGCAGCATTAGAATTGAAATGTAGTCAATTATTGAAGTTCTTCGGGTCCTGGCATTTTTATTTTATTTTATTTTAATATAGATCCTCTTTCCATTTTTGTATTAAATTCAATGAATAATTTTGATCTAAATTCGATAAATCTGTTTCTAATTCGAATCAAAATACAATACTGTGCTATAATTATGCTTCGCACTTCAAAATGCTGCAAGAACAATTCGTATTTTCCATATTTTTGAATTCGTAATTTCTGTTTTATGTCGTCGGCGAAGCAGCATCAATTTTCGGCTGGAATCGATGCGAAGTTTCCTGATTGAGTGTGAATATTTCAGTACCTAATAAGAAAATCTCTGGCCCAGGTTTTCCAGATCCTGCATCTTTTGAGTTCGCGATTTTTGCTTCAAGTCTTTGAAAAAGCACCGAAAAATTCAAAATGAGGATGAGAAACTTCAAAATCGAACTGGAATAGTTCTGCATCTGAGAACATTTCAAAACGCGATACCGCAGTCAAAGGTTTACCCATTTTTAAATTATTGATTTACCTTTCGAAGATTCGTCTGACAAACCAAAAAAAAAATTTGAAAATTCAGATTCGTGATAAATTAAAACTTACGAGACCCCGTGGCCGGAAGTTGAACACTGACGGGGTTTTCAGCAAACAATTTCCCGAGTCCAGTAGTTATTGACAAACAAAGCGGTTCCCCGCGCCAAACATTACTCAAAAGCAAACTTCTCCGCTTTTTGTTCACGTCAACATCTTTGATTGTTTGCCCATCATCGCAAAAACAATGTTTGCAGGAATCATCGATGAATGACCCTCGTAGTGGAGGATTCGAACTCTGCTGCTGCTGACAGGCCTCGTTCCTGCACACCCGTACCTGAAATTTTATTGTAGAACAGCACATGGCTCATCAGGTTAGAGAAACATTTGCGTTTTATTTTTGCGGTCATTTTTTTGTTTACCTTGAAATGCGAAAATTCCAGCAGAGTGGATTGAGAACGTGTGTATCGGTTGTCACTGAGTCTAGACCAGGAGATGCGCACAGAATTCGGCTCAGAAGGTTCCACGTGAATCGGTTCCATGATGTCGTGTCGGATTCCTGCACGAATAACGCGTCAAGAATTCGACATTTATGCTGGATATTCAGCAAAAATTGCGGAAATATATATTTCAAGGACGAGTTCCTGAAGTTTCAATTACGGTTCGCAGCATCGCTGATTTTTAAACGGGAAGCAGATGACGAAGAGAAGTCACACGAGAGTTTGTCCGATCTTCGCGCTACGTTTCGAGAAAATAATTTGAAAAATTTGTAAACAATGCGTCAAATTCTTCGGGCAATTTTTTTATATATTTTCGGGACAATATTTAATACGATTATGATGTCCTGACATGCACTCGCAGGAAGGTACGAGGTTAGGGAGGAAAATAAAATGGGTACAAAGACGGTCGTCTGTTTTCCTCCGGTTTCTAAAAACTTAGTTAATAAAAAATCGAAATTTTCCCGGGACACGCTGAGAATTTTAAAATTTCGCTTATATGGATTCAATTTTTAAAGATTTCCGCAGACCCACGGCAGGAAATTTTCAGAAGTCGAAATTTAAATTTTTTTTAGTTAAATACGGATGGAGTCAGAAATGGTTCAATGCGCAATTTCTGATGCAGACGAGCGTAGCATTGCCTAAATTGGATGAAAACGTATTTAAATTTTCGAGGATATCAACAAAATGGTATATTTTCATCCAATAAGTTGAATTCTAACGATTTCCAGTCACCCCATTAATTTCCGTGTTGAAAATCATTAATGCGCACAGAAACCAGACAAATCGCGTGCAGATGAAAACAAAATTTTTCTCCCTTTTTTCATAGAAATCATTTTGTCTTAATTTAAAAAAAAGGCTTGAAACGTGATGCTTTTCATATCAGCAGCCTGATTGCATTCTAAACAAGTTACGAAGAGGTTCTCCATCTTTTCGATTTGCAGAGCTATTTTTGGCAAACTTTCTGTAGTGGAGCCCTTCAGAAAAATTTCAAGGTTTTCTTCTGAAATTCTAGGCATATTCGTCGTAAGATATTATTTGTGGGCTCAGATTTTCGAACCAGACCAAGCTAGTAAATCTTCCTCGATACAAAGACGTCAATTGATTTAAAAGAATCTGATTTTTTTTATTTCATGCAATTTTTAATTTTTTGGATAAAAAGCCGCGAATCCTTGAGAGGAAAATGCATTCCTTGAACCGACAAAAAGAAATTGCGTTTGTAACTCACTATTCGGAGCGCGTCGCACGTTTACCACAGCAGCATCAGCGTTGCTCATGCCTCGTCGATTTTTTGATTGAATTTTTGCTTGAATCAATAGAATTTCGGGGGACAACCTAGGGAAAAAGTAACGATCTGAAGTCCAGGGCAATTCCAGCTCTTCCCACGAACCGTCAACTGTTCGCCACGACAAGAGATAATTGAATCCCGGTCCTGCGTGGTCCAGTGGCATGATTCTCTGATGGCGGGAAGTAATTTCACTTTATTAATGAATCAAACGCATTATTCGATTTTTTTTAAAGAAGAACCAAAAAATTCGAATTCATAGTGCAGCTTTCAGTCGAAACAATCAGCATGAGTTATACCCCGAGTGCGTTGATATCATTTTTGTTAGACGAGAATCTCGGAGCATTAAACCTGAGTCTGGTTTGATAAAAAAAAAAGGATCAGCTGATTTTCTGAATGAACGATTAAAGGTTCGAAAGGAAACTTTAAAAACTTCCGTTTTAAAATTATTTTCGTGGGGCTATTCGCAATGGCATATGGCAACAAAACCTTTATCCGATATAAAATTCAAGCATTTTCTCATTATGAAGAAATTCTGGAAAAAAACATTTAACAGCCTATAAAATCCGATAAATCATTTTTTTAAATCAGTCTTGAAAAATTTTCTACAAGAGTAGAAAGAGACATCTTTGAAGAAAAACTGGTCTACCATTTTTTGTCAACCCTGTATATTTCACATCAACGAGTGAACATGAAATACTTTTTGAATAAAACCAACATTATCTACACTTGATGCTATAAAACGGTTTCCCCATATTTAAAAAAAATTGAAATGTTATTTTTCTAATGGAGCTGATTTTTGATTCCATTCTCAGTTTTGAAATAATGTAAGTTTTAAATTGCCAATTTTATGTTTGTCATCGACAGAGACAGTGAGACAGAGTGATGGAAAGAGGAAGAAAACTCACTTTCCATCTTACGCCTATTGACCCCGATGAGGTGGGTTCGGATACGATCAATTCCGGGTTCAAGAGCGGGTTCGATTCTGGGGCCAGGCAAACTTTCCCTGACACTTCTGAAGCTTCCGACGGGCCCACAGAGTTCACGGCCACAACGCGGAACATGTTGGAGGTCCACGGTTTCAGTTCAACCTGGAGATTTTTGTTTTGTTTTGTGAAAAGAAAAGAAATTCATTGGAAAATAAAATAAGTCCGATTAAGCGAAAATAAAAATCTGAATGAGCAAAATACTGAACTGCTAAGTCAAGTTTGCGGCGCTGCATCGAGAATCAGTGAAATGAAATGCCATTTACTTTTGAACAAGAAACGTGATGGAATTCCATTGAAGAGCAAAAATAATTTGAAAGGCTCAAACAAATCTGATGCGAACTTAAAAAAATGATATGTATATTTTTAGCTCTGTTGATTTATAGCTTGTTGAATTTGGATTCAACTTGTTTTTCCGTGAGTAGACTGCGGTGATCATTACAACCGGATTTGAATTCCTTCAAGATTTGAATCATAAACTTCAAAAACCAGTCTTTCGAAGGACAAAACTTGAAAAGAACTTTTCGAAATTTAAATTGTAGAATTACAAGACGAGCTCACGTCAACCCTTTTATAATGAATTATTCATTATAAACAGTTACAATGTGAACCACGAAATTTATTCAATAGAGATTGAATAAAATGGATCGCTTCAGAAATTATGAAGACTGCTGCATATGCTTATTGTGCTGCCCTAATAGCAAATATATAAGCGGAATCTGAATTGCTCATTCATAATCTCCAAACTAAATCGCAATTCGCTCAGATTCTTGAAAGAAATAATCTACCAAACGCAAACTAAGTGCTAATAAATTTCTTTTTTTGTTGTGGAAAAACATGCGTGTTTCGTGCAAGATTTTATTTACAGAACTTCGTCAAAATCAGTGAAAAGACAGTTTGCAAAACAAAGACACGGCAATCACTGTTTTGTTGCTGTTGTTGTGCAAAACATGCAAAAAAAGCGCGTGTTATAAGAAACCATCACCACACAGTTCGAACCTCTAATTCAATGTCAGTAACCGCAGCCCGTCCGGCCTCAAACCAGGCCCCAGCAGAACCAGAGAACCCACGCAGATCCCCTAAATTCGCTTCCGAAACAATACCCGCGGGAATCTGCAATTGCTGCTGTTGTTGTTGTTGTTGTTGGTTGGCAGAAGCCACCAATAATGTGTTGTCAGACCGAGGCCAAGCCAAGGCTTGAACAACGTAGGATGTGATGGCCGAACCCCGATCCCCGGCCGATCGCCACATCACCTTTCCAGTCAACCCGTGACATTCAAGGCCCACCAACTGGGGTTTGTTCGGCACGTCTTGGAGATTTTTTTTTTTTTTTTGCGTGCAAAAATAAAAAACGAGTGAAGAAAATACCAAAGATATGCTGATTTGAAACAGAGGGAAGAATTAATGCCCGTCACCACCGTGTTCAGATTGAGCTCGAATCTAGAAACATATTAAGCTAAAAATCGAAGACCGACGTGTTATCCAGATATATGCATTTCACGCAGAAAAAATTCCCGTCACCAGCTTATTCAACCCGACTCTATATATCTAGAAACTTAAAATAAAACCGAAAAAAGCAGATTTTCCAGACATAATTTTCCACAAAAAAAACCATAAAACGGTCCCCAAAAGTTCAGAATAGCGAGAAAACCTGTCAATTTGAAGTTCGCAAGTCAAATGCAATTCATGTTTTTATTCACTCATTCACAGGTCGCAATTATTTTTGGCCCAAATTTTCTTCGGCCGATATACAAAATGCCTGCGCGTTAAAAATATATATACAGCTTAAATGGAGGAATATTAGATCAAGTCAGAAGTTTTATAATCGCTCGTAAGTAGCCCATGTAGGCCTCGGAAATTCATTACAGGAGTTACTCGATATAATAGTGAAGTATCCAGCAGGAATTATGAGCACTTGTCAAGGATGGATTGGTGTCTGTCTTTAAAAAATTGAATCAGCTAAAATTGTAGGAGAAAATCTCGTCATCAGAAAGCTTGGCAAAAAAAAATAAAAAATCTCAATCGGAAGGATAATGGTCTGTTTTCGGTTTTATTTGAAGATCAAAAATTGAATGAGTTATATTGGAGTTCTTTTCTCTGTTTAAGGATTTTACGTTTCCACATAATTCGACTCAAAACGTCACTATATGAAGGATCAAATGCAACTACTCATCGTCACTGTCGATTCATTTGAGCGTTGACCTGTTTCGAAAAATTGTTTGATCCCTGAACATGATGCTTTTGTTTCAAACATAAATAAATCCTAGCCTTTTTTCGTTTTGCATGTTGAAAAAAATATTTTTATCTATTTTTGCCATTTACTTCGGTGACGGAATGGTTTTCCAAATTAAAGGAGAAAAAATTCACATACCGGTGACGAGAACATGTGCTTCGGCCCTCGCAACGTCGCTGTC